GGCTGCTCCCGGGGCAACCGCCCGCGCTGGCCTCCACCGCCAGCTTCTCTTTTCAGTTTTCTGTTTCTGTACAACAGTTTTCGCTTCTCTGTCAAATCCCAGAGCCCTCCGCTGTCACAGTTCCTGCAGTTTAAGTGTTTACAAGCCGAGCTCTCTCAAGCTTCCTTTATTATTCCTGGAAACGAGCCATTTTTTATCGTTTTAGCCTCACCCAGACTGGAACACGAGATTTGTTTGGGTGCCGCCAGGGCAGAAAAAGAAAGCTAAAATTATTCAGAGAGGAAGGCTGTGGGGAAGGATGCTGCAGCGGGTGCTGAATCCTCATCCCCTGGGAAAGGAAAAAATTCTGCGCTGGCCGAGAGCCACAGGTCACAAAGCACTTACCCCCAGGGCAGAGGGACGCAGGGTACTTTGCCCATGGGTGATGGTGAGGGCTGTCCCCAGGCTGACCTTGTCTGGGACCCTGGGGGTACAGCTTACCTGCGGGGGCTGCCCCATCCCAGCCCTGGCACCGCAGCACCATCAGAAGGACCTTGGAGCACGTACAGGGGTGTTGTCCCATCCCTGTCCCTCCTGCTAGCCATTTGATCCTCTTGCTAGCCCACCAGCGGTGGGGTGTGGGGTGCTCCGTTTGGGAGACGCTGGTGGCTTCGCCTGGGGCAGAGGTGCGGTGCCCCGGGGGGGTCACAGCCTTGTCCCTCTGCAAAGCCCCCAGCTAGCCCCGCTCTCCTCGGCTCCCACTCACAAACTGTCCCCAGCAGGTCCCTGCTGCGGCCACGCATCTCAGCAGGGTCCTGAGGGATGCGGGAGGCCACACAGGGAGGCTGCGGGGCTGTGGCACACCAGCAAGCGGGGCCGGAGCTCCCCAGCCCTGCCCTCTTCCCCAGGGGATGCGGGTGCCAGGCAGAGACCGTGCTGGCCAGGGTGGCCGGACAATGACCCTTTTGAAGGGCACGAGACCATCTGGGGTGGCAAAAGCCTCAGCATCACGGAGAGCAGGATGGGACCTGTGCCTCAGAGAGACGCTGCCGAGCACTCTAACCTGCAAACAGCCCACACGCGTGGGAAGTGGTTTGCAGCCCTGCAGCGAGCCCAAAATAAATTGCGAGGTTGGCAAACATCTGAGCTCCGCTGCCAGTCTCTGTGCGTGACCACCGCAGCTGGAAAGCTCACACCTCGTGGTGGAAGTGGAGGCTCTCACCTCCCGTGGGGTTTCCTACCTCCCTGTCCGTGCTGGGAAGGGGACCGACACCAGACACATTCCTGCCAGCACGCCGCAAAGAGAGGGGCCAAGCCAGCGCTGCTGGACACGGGGTCTTCAGGACGTCCACGGGCCGTACAGTAGCAAAGTCCCCCAGCTGTGGCAATGCCCCTGATGCAAGTTTAAAGGATCGCCCTGGTCTCAGCCCCCTCCATGAGCAGGGGAAGGTCAGGATGCTCGGCCATCCCTGAAGAACCCGTGGGGTGCAGCCAGCCCCCCTGCGCTCTGTGGGCCACCTGGAGCCAGCCCACCCAGATCTCCTGGAGAGCTGGGCTCCAGGGTCACTAGTGAAAGCAAAAACTATCAATTTGTGGCTTCCTTCTTTCCCTTTTTTCTTGAACAGGCTGCCCAGGGCAGTGGTGGAGTCCCCATCCCTGGAGGCGTTCAAAAAACGTGTAGATGTGGCACTTCAGGACATGGTTTAGCAGGCGTGGTGGTGCTGGGTTGACAGTTGGACTTCATGATCTTAGAGGTCTTTTCCAACATTAATGATTATGACAAGCATGCAAGGCCCAGTGGGTTCATTGATAAACTGGTTTTGTTTTTCACCCTAGCAGAGCTCTCAGTTTTCAGCCTGGCCTTCCTTGCTCGTTCTGGAGGACTCACCAGAGATCTGAG